TGAAGGCCAATCATTGAATTTGAAGGTAATGCATCACTCTCTCTCACACTCTCTCTGTCTCTCTCACCTTCACCATTGTTGACATTGATAACCTTTGTGTTGTTTGTATTGTTTTTCTATGCCCATCAGTTGTTCGATGAAATGCCTAAGCAAAAAATCAATAGTGGAAAATCATTGAACCCCTCACATATTATACTTGCACCCAATTTCTGTCTCCACTAAATATACATTCAATTTTTTCATTTCCCTTTTGTTATATTTCTGAATTTTCGGTAGTGGGAGCTCACCCAAAATTTTGGGAATTGAAAACTTTGTGAGAGTTGAATTTGGTTATGAATAATATTAGTATTTACATTTGTCATTTATCTTTGTTTTTGATGTTGGCTTTTTTATTAACTAGTTCCAATGTCCACAAATACACACTTATTGTTGACTTTTATTCGTATATATATATTTTTTAATAGAAGAAGCTTCTGATCAAAGTTTTCATTCTCTCTTTTTCTTTTTTGTTTTATTTTTCCTTTTGTGAATGGTTGATGTAAGTGCTTGAAGGTTTCAGACTTTTGAGTTGTATGGATTCTTAAAAAGTGAATATGATTCATAGTTTCAATTTCTTCTCTAACATGGTAAATTTTTTTTTTTTTTTCATCAAATGCATATGCCCCCAGGTTCTGTTTTACAAATGAGGCTCTGGTTCCTGTTTATGCAACCAACTGGTCTGAGTAAGAGACTATATACACACAAAAGATATTTAATTCATTTCACTTTGTTCCAACTCTCTCCACTAGTCAATGTAGATGATAAATGTACAAATGAAATTTCTCATTTTGTTGTTATGAACAACAGGTGGTTAGACGAACAAAAAAAACTGGCAAAAGTCTCCCCTGAATCTCCTGTGTGAGTAATGCTGCCATTGTTGCTTAATAATATGCGTGAATCTCTTTTTAACCCTAGGAAGCTCAAGGAAGAATTTTATACGCATGTTTGTGAACTTGCTATAATTTTATACGCACCATTGCTATAATTTGACAAAATAGCACTATTCATTGCCAAATTATAACAATAGCAATGATATTATAACAATAACCATTGGAGATGTTTTAAGTGATTACAATTCAAACAATAATCCTATTCGTTCATTCCTATCAAACTTTAGCCCTCCTTTGGCTATAATTTTAGGATTAAAAAAAAGAATGAAATAACAAAAATAAGTTAATAAGATAAAATATCATATTTAACTTATAATCATTATATTTTTTCTTTTATAAAGTTAAAAAAAGTTAAAAAATCTATACCAAATGAGATTAAAAAAATCAGACTAAAAATATCTTAATACAAAAAAATTCACTATGTTAAAACCAATACGAAAAGATACGTTACTATTAAGTCAAACAAAGAGAAGTTCACTCTAAAGCAACCACAAACACCTACGTGTGTAGCACACTTATGTTTAAAAATCAACAGGTTGTAGCTTGCGTAGATTGTGTTAGCCCTCCAAAAAAAAAAAATAAAAAATAAAAAATAAAAAATAAAAAAAGAGTAAGATTTTAGAGATTAAAATTGAAGGATAAAATTATTTTTTAGAGATTAAATATTTTTATTGTGAAAAGTGTCATTATATTTTTATCAACGAAAATTGGATATTGGTGATAAATTGTTCTCTATAGTAACTATTCTCACGACGATAGAAATTGATCTCAAAGGGTTTGTTTGGGAAATGAGTTGACTTTTTAGTTATTTTAGTTTGAGGCTACAAAACCTTATTTAGGAAGGGCTTTCTAACTTTTTGTGAAAGAAAGAATATAATGATTATGGGTTGGATGTGATGTTTTGTCTTATTGAACTAAAAAGCCTATTTTATTTTATTTTTGACTAATTTAGTCAAAAAAGTCCCAACCTCAACTTTCCAAATAGAGGCTAAATATCTTTTATAACAAAATCTTCACTTTTAAAAATTAAAAATTATTATTTTTAAAACACTTATATGTTATAATGTATTTTGGTTATCAAATTATTCGTAAGGATGATCTTGAGATCTACTTCTAAGAATAGAATAAGGCCCCGTTTGGGGACTTACTTTTTTAACTAATTAGTCAAAAAATTACTAAATTAGCTAAAAAACCAACAATTCATACAAAAAAGTCAAAGATTCTATTTTCTCTCTACTTTTTGCACATATTTTCGTAATTAGCCAAAAAGTCATCCCAAACATATAAGTTTTTTTTACCTACCTTTTTAGCCAAATAACTAAAAAATTACTAAATTAGTCTGCTCCCAAACGAGCCCTAAGAGCCAAGTCTTAAGTGCTTATAAGAAATAGGTGTGAGTCAAGGTCATGTTTAGCAATTGAGTAAAATAATCATTTCTATTTTTTTTTTTGTACGTTTTTTTATACAAAATATAAATAAAAAAAAATCACTGAAAAGGTCAATTATCAAATGAACCTTTAATTTTTTTCATTATATTAAAATGATACTTTTATAAAATTAAAATATACAAAAAATTATGATGCATGGTTGATATTTATCTTGTGTATTATGTGAATCATATTTAAAGTAAACCTAAATCATACAATCCACTTTTTATGTTTTAATTCTATTCATGTAACACTGTCGTAGAATTTTTATTCATAATTTTACTATGAAATATGAAATATCAATGTTATGGTATACTTTCAAACTATTCATAGACTTTATAGCATACCAACCTTTTTGATTTTAAGGCCCTGTTTGGCAATGGTTTTTTTGGCTAAAATAGCCAATAAAGATAAAATAAGTTAATAAAATAAAATATCACATCCAAATCATAATAATTTTATTTTTTCTCTTAGAGCATCTCCAACGGTGAACTTCTTTTTTCATCAAATCTGAGGAAAAAAAGGACGATTTTCTCAATCTGATACGAGGCTCTCCAAAGGTTGCACTTAGTTTGCATCAAAATGCTGGGAATGTCCGGTGGGTTGACTTGAAATTTTTTCCTCCATTGTAGACCCAGCTGATCGAGCTTCGATTCGTTGAAGACGTCGGCGACGAGGCCGACTCCTGTGATCGATTGGGTAAAGCAGAATGAAGCAGATTGAAGCAGCTGGTGGGTTGACCGGTTGGTCGACCGGTGGGTCGACCGATTAGTATATATATATATTTTTTTTACCTCTTCGAACCTTTTGACCTGTTTGAACCAAAATATTTACAAGGGAACCGGTCCACCGGCTGGTCAACCGGTTGCTAAAAAGTCTATTTTATTTTATTTTTGACTATTTTAGTCAAAAAAAGTCCTAACCTCAACTTCCCAAATAGAAGCTAAATATCTTTTATAATAAAATTTTAACTTTTAAAAATTAAAAAAAAATTATTTTTAAAACTCTTTTATGTTATAATGTATTTTGGTTATCAAATTATTCGTAAGGATGATCTTGAGATTTACTCCTAAGAATAGAATAAGAGCCAAGTCTTAAGTGCTTATAAGAAATAGGTGTGAGTCAAGGTCATGTTTAGCAATTGAGTAAAATAATCATTTTTATTTTTTTTTTGTACGTTTTTTTATACAAAATATAAAAAAAAAAAAAATCACTGAAAAGGTCAATTATCAAATGAACCTTTAATTTTTTATATTATATTAAAATGATACTTTTATAAAATTAAAATATACAAAAAATTATGATGCATGGTTGATATTTATCTTGTGTATTATGTGAATCATATTTAAAGTAAACCTAAATCATACAATCCACTTTTTATGTTTTAATTCTATTCAGGTAACACTGTTGTAGAATTTTTATTCATAATTTTACTATGAAATATGAAATATCAATGTTATGGTATACTTTCAAACTATTCATAGACTTTATAGTATACCAACCTTTTTGATTTTAAGGCCCTGTTTGGCAATGGTTTTTTTGGCTAAATTAGTCAATAAAGATAAAATAAGTTAATAAAATAAAATATCACATCCAAATCATAATAATTTTATTTTTTCTCTTAGAGCATCTCCAACGGTGAACTTCTTTTTTCATCAAATCTGAGAAAAAAAAGGACAATTTTCTCAATCTGATACGAGGCGCTCCAACGATTGCACTTGGTTTGCATCAAAATGCTGGGAATGTCCGGTGGGTTGACCTGAAATTTTTTCCTCCATTGAAGACCCATCTAATCAAGCTTCAATTTGTTGAAGACGTCGGCGACGAGGCCGACTCCTGTGATCAACTGGGTAAAGCAGAATGAAGTAGATTGAAGCAGCTGGTGGGTTGACCGGTTGGTCGATCGATTAGTGTATTTTGTTTTTTTTTTTTTTTACCCCTTCGAACATTTTGCCTGTTTGAACCAAAATATTTGCAAGGGAAGCGGTCCACCGGTTGGTTAACCAGCCGGTCAACCGGCTGGTCGACCGGTTGGTCTTCCCAACGGTAACGCACAGTGAAATGGTGAAATCTAAAGTCTGTTCTCATTTTGGTGAAACTTTTGGTGAATTCTCGATTTGATATTAATTTGGTAAAATCGTTGGAGCACCAAAAAGTCACTTTTTCACCAAAATTTAAATCTGATGCCAAGTTTAATGAAGCGTTGAAGATGGTCTTACAACCATTAAATCAACTATAAAAAAGTCAACAAACTTTCTAAACACAACTTTTTTAACTAAATTAAAATAACCAAAAAATTAACTAAAAAATTAACTTCTCAAACCAGCTCTAAGTAATTTTCATGATAAACTTTCTGTGTATTTAAATTATCAATGCAATAATATTACAATGAATACATTTGGAAAAATTATTGATTGGTCCTGGTAATCACATGACCATATCCAGACTAATTATAAATCTTCATACTATTTCATATTGTCTAATCACTCAATATAAAATTATAAATTTCACCCTTTTGACTAATTACAATGCATGTACAGTACCATGTGGTGCTGCCTAACCAGCCAATAACTTCTCCCACATTGGTCAGTGTTTATTACATTGACAACATAAATGAATGGTAAAGGTTTCAACACCAAAATAATGATGACAAATGAAATACGAAAATCCATCTTAAATAATTTATCAAACTTTTTATATGGGAATGGGATTCATACAAATTTACATATGTGTAAATCTTACCTTCATATAAAAAGTTTAATAAAAAATTTAATAAATTATTTAAAATCTCTAATATCACTCAATAAAATAATAAATATATTAATGATATATTGGAAAATACAACTATTGCATGCATAGTAAAGCAACTTGCTGTTTGGCTGTGGAAGCATATAAGGTAACCTTAATTAGCCGCAATTCTGATAGCTCGGAGCACCAGTGTAACGACCTCCATGTGAACCGCCGCCACCATCGTTGCCACCACTTATGCCTCCAACTTCATAAATTTCTTCTTCACTGGCAACTACTACGGCCACATTTTCTTCACCATATGGGCCTTCTTCTTGTGAATGCTCCTCGCTACAAGCGGCTGCTGGAACCATGACCGGTTTTTTCTTTTTCTTCGCCAAACAGCAGCAGAAGAAACCGATAGCAAGAAATGCAAGGAAGAAGAAACCGCCCAGCGAGACGCACACTGCAATGATGGTTGTGTGGTTGCCTCCCGGGGGCGGTGGTGGGATTGAAGAATGTGGTGTGGGTGCCAGAGGAGGAGGAGGGACACCGGGATAAAGAGGTAGCGGTGCTGGTGCTAGAGGTGGCCACTCAATTGATGGTGGTGGAGGTGGAAAAGTTGCTGTTGGTGTGGGAGCTGGATTAGTGGAGGGAGGAGGAGATGTAGGTGTTGGTGGTAGATTAGATGGTGGTGGTGGTGGTGGTACAGGTGGTGGTAGATTATATGTTGGTGGTGGAGTAAGCGACTGCGGTGGGATGCCTGGTGGTGGAGGAGTAGAGGACTGTGGTGGCATGACAGATGGTGGAGTAGGGGACTGTGGTGGCATAACAGCTGGTGGAGTAGTGGACTGTGGTGGCATAACAGCTGGTGGAGTAGTGGACTGTGGTGGTGTAGGGGATGGTGGTGGCATGATTGGTCCTCCACTTGGTGGTGTTTGGCCCATGTTAGGTGGAGGTGGAGGTTTTGCAATGACAGGGTTACATGGCGGCGGCGGTGACGATGATAATGAGGGTGGTGGTGGTGGAGAATAATATGAATAAGCCATGTGAATGTTTTTGAGAATAGGCATTTTGTGACTATGTCCTAAAATCTTCAATTAATGATTAGGATGTAGAAAATGGCAAGGGGGGTGGCTATATATATAACACACTTAAGCCTAATTTATTCAAAGTCTTAGCAATATTTAAAAGCATTGAATCTCAATGATACAAGTAGGATTGCTCTCTATCTACGCTTAGGTGAGTTGTATTCACATCTAAAATGACTTTGAATCTTCTTCCCCTTTAAAAATAAGGGCAAATTACATATATCTCCCTCAAGATTTAGTTAAATTACAGATATCTCTGAGATTTTGAAAATTACATCCCGCACCCTGAGGTTTGTATTTTCATAACAATTTGTCCCCTGAGGTTTATATTTCATAACAAATTAGCCCCTAATTTGTTATGCAAATATAACATTCAGGGGAGAATTTGTAATTTCTCAAACCTCAGGAGAGTATCTATAATTTAGCCAAACCTCGAGGGGCATATGTAATTTGCCCTTAAAATAAAATAAAAATTAAATATTTTGGATCTAATGTTCAGAGACCTGGCATTCTGGACAAACAGTCCTTCAATAATCCGGTAGGTGCATTATTAGGTATACGAATCAGTATGAATACATTTATTTTATTTTATTTTTTTGGTCGACAATTAGTATATATACTTGCATGTGCTTGAAACGAATATAAATAATCATAAATCAAATTTCATTTAATATAAATTATATGTCTAATGTCATACCATATATGTCTCTAAAAAATTCATCAAATTGCGTTAAAAATAAAAGAAATTAAGTTATTCTTACAATTTCTTACCTAATTATATTAAAAAATGAAAATGCACTAGTATTTTGCTATTATATAATAATGCTATCTTGTTGTACTTTTGTTCAATGCTATTTGTGATTTTGTTTTCATAAGGACTTGTTCACGACACAATTTGTTAAAAGACTTAAGATTATGAATTGTAAGTTTTATGTTATTAAGAGAGGGGGAAATATTTCCATTGGGCTCTTTCTTTTTAATTTTTTTTTTTGGGGGGGAGGGGGGATGCTTGTGTATTTTTTGTATTATTGTTATTATTTCTATTGATCTATGTGAATTGATAATTATATATATATATATATATATATATATATATCGATCAGAAAGAAAATCTGTATTGTAAAATTAAAAAAATATCAGATCAATCTGGTACAACAGTATCACAAGATCTCATTAGTTTAACCTGCAAGGGTAGTCCAGTTGGCTGAGGGCAAGGGACCAGGGACCAGGAACCTAGGAGTTTGCTCCTCTCTAGGTCTCATGTTCGAATCCCACCCCCAGCTGGCTACTGGCGGGCCACTGCGTCTTTGCTCGGTCGATCGGCTCAGGGCCTCGAGATTAGTCGAGGTGCGTCACTCCGAAGGGGTGCTGGCCCGGATACTCGGTTATATGTGAATAATTATTCAGTAGTAGTATCATAAGACATGTAGGATTTCAAATTAATTATGTAGCAAAATTTTTTACATATAAAATACTTGAGTTAATTTGATAAATAGATTTTTTTTAATCAGTAGAAAATAATTTTATTGATCTATATAAGTCATATTTAATATTTATTTTATTTTTTTTCATTCTATTTATGAGCTATATGACGACCTGTATAATTTATTAGACTAACATTTTAATGCATTTTATTAGTTAATGTAATTTATATAAATAAAAAATTTATTACTTCTAATTTAATAATAATTTTTTTTAAAATGTCATTTATATATCAAATCAATAAAATTTTGTGATGTTACATAATGAAAAATGATTTTCAAATAGAATTTATATATCAAATCAATAACATTATTGAAATTATAGGTCATAGTAATAGCTGTTTTAGTTGGAGTAGAAAGGATTATAAATGACCACATAATTTTTGTTTGTATATATATATATACACATATTATAGGAATACTAAGCTACAATAAATGAATTTTTAAAACTTAGCGAGACAATTATACATACATTGTAAAAATAGTAACAAATTAGAGAAGCAATAGAATTTTATTTTATTGTAAACTTGGGGGGCCATGGTCTCCTTTGGACTATCCCTAACTTCGATTTGTCTCCTAGTACAATGCATTAAACAACAATTTGTTTTTGTTTTTGTTTTTGTTTTTTTTTTTTTCTTTTGGGGAGGATTCCCTCCGGTCCATAATCTGGACGAAAGGGCTTTGTTTGGGTTTGTGGAGATTATTACGGGTCTCGTTTCTATGATCATAACTGTTCATTTTGTCAAATATTTCATTTATTTCATCCGCATAAAAAATTAAGTCGATTTAATAATCGTAACTTATTCAATTTATCACGTTTGTCACAAATAAAAATGAACAACAATTGTATTTTTAGAAATAAATCATCTATTTTTTTGGTGACAAACGTGGTAAACTGAATAAGTTATGATTATCGGATCGATCTAATTTTTTTTGTAAATGAAATATACAAAGTATTCGATAACATGAACAGTTTAAATCATCAAAATAAAATCCATAATAGATTCTCGTGTCGTTTGGGAAGTGGGTTGGCTTTTTGACTTTTTTGACTATTTTAGCCTGTGTTAAAAAACTTGGTTTGAGAAGGACTTTTTAGTTTTTTGACTTTTTTGACTTTTTTTATGAGATAAGAGTATAATGATTATGTGTTGGATATGATGTTTTATTTTTTGTGACTAAAATAACTTATTTTATTTTTTATAACTAAAATAACCAAAAAAATTTGGCTCAGCTCTACCCAAACAGAAATCCACTTTGTAGACTAGAGGGGCTGCCTACTCTTTGTACATTCATCAATAATATCTCTCTTTGATTATAATATTTTATTTTTATTTTTAGGTTAGTGTATAATTGAGCGATGCTTTTTGATAAGCTTGAAACCCAAACCTCCCCACACTCGAGATTGATTAAACAATAATTATAGGGTGGTTTGACCGCAATTTAAATATGCAGTTCATTTGTTATAAATTATTATATTATTTCTTTATTTCTCTACACATTTATTAATAAATAAATCAAAATAACTATCATATGAACATGTTATATATTATTTATTACTACTAATAATAATCTTCATATTTTTTGTTTTGCTTCCTTTCTTGCTTCCCACATTGCACCATAAGAAAACACATTTTTGGCGACCAGTTTTGGCTACCAAAACAAATTTAGTCGCCCAAAGTTTGGGAATTGGCTACCAAAATTAATTTTGGTCGGCAAAGTCAACTTTTTAGCTACTAATTTTTCTTAGTAGGGGAATGTTGATTATTGGCGACTAAAATAAATTTAGTAGCTAAAAATACTACAATTGGCCACTAAAAAAATTTTTAGTAGCTAAACATATCTCCATTAGCGACTAATTTTACTTTTAGTAGCTATAGAGGCACCTTTAGCTACTAAATTGTTTGGTAGCCGAAGGAAAATAAAAAAATTTATTTTTGATCTTTGGCGACCAAACTTTGGTCGCCAAAACTATCTTTTCAGCGACAAAATTCATTTTAGTCGCTGTAGACCTACTTTTGCCTACTAAATTGTTTGGTAGCCGAAGGGAAATAAAAAATTTTATTTTTGATCTTTGGCGACCAAAATTTTGGTCGCCAAAAATTATTAAACAAAATAGTTATTTTATTTTTATTTTTATGAAAGGTTGTCAAATCTTAACAACAATGACATTTTATCCACTTGAAATTTGACTTTTTTTTTTAAATGAGAAAAATAAAATTGAAAGAAACTTCTTTTTTAAAAATAAAAATGAAAATGAAACATGCTTATTAATTAAATAAAAATGAATTCTCATTAGTAGTAGGTATATGAATAAAACAATCAGATTTATTGAATTAAGTTGTAAAAGCCAGTTGGCTTTATTAGGCTATACTAGAATCCAAATGGTTTATCATCTTCTAAAATTAATTTAAGGTTTACTTTAATATAAAAACTAGTTACAACTGCATAATAAATTAATTAAATCCACTTGACACATGATTTCTTCATCTGTCTTTATTTATGACAAAATATACATATTGCATGTTCTAAATTTCTAAATCAAATTGATTAGTGCCTAGTTAGTCATGCAGGAGTCCCCCAAAAAAATTAAGTATATTTTACAATATCTATATAATAAGACAGAACGGTTTTTGAAAATATGTTAGAGACAATTGTCCTACTAAGACATTTCAATGACTATGATTCATTTGTCTATTTAAATAGATGGCTGAGATGACCCCCTTAAATATATATCAATCCCCTTCCAGCACCACTGTTACATATCTGTTCTGATTGGGAAGTTAAACCTAATGAAGTAATGATGGTTGGGGATAACATTAAAGATGATGTGAGTTCTGCTAAATTTCTCTCTCCATCATTTGCACCATATTTGTTAAGAACATTTCTGATTCATTTTGAGGTGCTGTTTTTGTATATATATATTTTTTAATTTCACATTCTTTTATCAAATTTGTTTGAATCAAAACATGCTTTTGTGTAAATTAAAGCTCCTTTACTTGGTCTTCGCAGGTTGCTTGTGGGAAACGAGCGGGAGCATTTACATGCTTGCTTGACGAAACAGGGAGGTATGATTCTCCCGAATACACAGATGTGGAATTTAAGCCAGATTACAACGTGTCTTACCTTGCCCAGTTTGAATTAAAGAAGATAATAAGTGAATTTTCTTTAATCTCAAATATTCTTATATTTGAAGTCACTCCGTCCGTTGCACCACCACATAACTTAGGCATAATGCAGTGTACTGATTACATAAAATATTCAAAATCTGTAACATTAGTGTCTCCCTTCATCGGTAGAAAGAGTTCATGCAGCATTTCATAAATCCTCTCAAAACAAGGGTGGATTTTATCAGCAACATAACAGCTGTGAGTTTCACTATTAATATATCTCTGCAAATGTGTGTGTTTTGTAATTATGTAAGATATATTAACCTGTATTTTTTAAATATGCATCAATTAGAAATTTAATGACTCGAAAATAAAAATTGAAAATAATATATGATTGAGAAAATATGAAATAATAAGTTTTTATACATATGAATAAATAAGTAAT